CCAGGTCTGTGCCAACGCCAGCAGCCCCCACACCGAGCTCTTCCCCAGCGACAACGGCACGCTGGAGGTGGACATCTACAAGGGGGTGAGTGTCCTGGGACAGCTGGGGACACCCGAGGGTGGCACCGCACCCGGGACAGCGCGGTGGGGACACCCGGGGGTGACACCGCACCCGGGACGGCGCGGTGGGGACACCCAGGGGTGACACCGCACCCGGGACAGCGCGGTGGTGGCACCACACCCAGGGGTGACACCGCGCCCGGGACAGCGCGGTGGGGACACCCAGGGGTGACACCACACCCAGGACAGTGCGGTGGGGACACCCAGGGGTGGCACCGCACCCGGGACAGCGCGGTGGGGACACCCTGGGGTGGCACCACATCTAGGACAGCGCGGTGGGGACACCCCGGGGTGACACCGCACCCGGGACAGCGCGGTGACCCTGTCAGGTGTCCCTTGGGGCCCAATGACCCTGTCAGGTGTCCCAGGGGTGACACTGACCCTGCCTAGTGTCCCCAGGGGTGACACTGGCCCTGTCAGGTGTCTCTGGGGTCACAGTGACCCTGCCTGGTGTCCCCAGGGGTGACACTGACCCTGTCAGGTGTCCCTGGGGTGACACTGACCCTGCCTGGTGTCCCCAGGGGTGACACTGGCCCTGTCAGGTGTCCCCAGGGGTGACACTGGCCCTGTCAGGTGTCCCTGGGGTGACACTGACCCTGCCTGGTGTCCCAGGGGTGACACTGACACTGTCAGGTGTCCCCAGGGGTGACACTGGCCCTGTCAGGTGTCCCAGGGGTGACACTGGCCCTGTCAGGTGTCCCAGGGGTGACACTGACCCTGCCTGGTGTCCCCTGGGGTGACACTGGCCCTGTCAGGTGTCCCCAGGGGTGACACTGACCCTGTCAGGTGTCCCTGGGGTCACAGTGACCCTCTGGTGGCATCTGCTGCTCCTGGACCAACCGGGAGCAGCGGCCGGGGACCGCGACGGGCCCCCAGCCCGAGGGGGTGAGGCCAGCGCGGGCTCCGGCCGTTCCTACTCCTGGGTGTAGCTCCGGCTGTTCTTACTCCTGGGTGTAGCTCCGGC